CAGCGCCCCGGCCCGGCCCTCACCCGCCGCCGCGCCCGGCCCGCCGACGGGAGTCCCGGTGCGAGTCCTGCCCCCAGCCCCGGAGGTGCCCTGGGCCCGTTTGCTTTGCCGATGGACGGGAACCCGCTACCGTGAGAGGTCGCAACAGGTTTTGGTACAGGTAATGAGCTCATCACTTACGCGCTGAGTCATCCGGCGGTGGAACTATGAACACCTGGTAATTAGCGCCCAGCCCCCTCTTAGCCCTGGAACTGGCTGCAAGGGGTTTCCTCACCGCCCCACCTCCAGCTGTCTCATTCCATCAAAGGTTATTAATATCAACCAAATGAACAAATTGATCTTGGAAGAACAAACAATAATAAAAAAAAACAACCCGCCACTTGCTTAAGACAAGAACAGGGTAAACTCCGAGATGCGGCACGGTTTCAGAAATGCAAGGCTGTCAGCAGAGTTCGTTCCATCAGCTCTGCAAGAAAGATGGTCACCTTGCTTGTGAAAAGCAGCAGCACAAACCCAAACTTCCGTCCAAGGTTTCCGGCTGCATTCCAGCATGCAACAGAGCAAATCGCTTTAATGTTCAAAGCACGTTCTTTCTCTGGTTTCAGTTTGAGGGTACTGATAGTCACACCAATTTTTATTAAAGTCTTCTGTGCTATCATTAACCACTAAAACCAGAATCCACCAGCAGGTACAGAATATAGTAAAAACAACATCAATGTTAATAATAAATTTATAATAATGGTCAAGAGCTGTGTCATTTACCATCCAGACACTGAACTGCAAATACTTAGCGTTCCAGAAAGTATTTGGCTTTTTTTCAGACCAGATCAGTTTCTTGAACCTGTGTATTGTAAGGCATCACTTGAAGTTGCACAACAAATGTACCAAGGTTTTCCTCAACCTGGTTCTTGTTTTTTTAGTCGTTACCACAAACTGTAACAATTAGCTGCAGGTCACTAGCCCAGCAATAGTCTGCAATAACATTTTGAGTACTAGACCAAGGCTCTGCCTCTTTTTTGGGTCCTCAGCCCAGACAAACAAAACCTACCTTTTCTTTGTAATGTTAGGCTGTAGGAAATTAGCGTAAAAAAAGTCAGTGGAAGACATTATGGAAGGGGAATGTCATTTTATTATACAAAAGCTCCAGGCAAGTTGATTTTACACCCAGTTTCATACTCTGACGTTGCAGGCCTTCAGACGATCTGGCCAGGATCTTCTGGGTTTCTCTTCATTGGTGATGAGAACCTGATTTTGAGATATGTCTTTTCTGTCATTGGGAGAGGTCTTTTGCTTTCTCTGCTACCTTCCTGTTGGGCCGAGAGGAAAAGGGGCGACACGAGCAATAGAGGGCAATCTTGCTGCCATCTTCCTGTTGTTGGACTACAGGGTCTTCCACTGACCAGTTGTCTCTGTTGTAGTTTTATCAGGCTTTTCCCAGGCTTGACAGACAAACCCCATTTCACAATCTGATTGATTAGAAACAGCTTCCTTTGCAATCAATACAGGATGTTTGGTGTCTGCTGTTTCTTCAGCCCCTTTCACACACACACACACATGTGTTCATATATCATTCATGCCAGTTGTACTATTTCTCTTGCAAGGCCCTACATCGTCTCCTGTTTTAAATCATCATTACTCACAGGAAAAATATCAGTCGTGGCACAATTCCAAGCTCCTGCCACAATTACTTGGCAAAGATGTCCATACATTACTTGCTAAGAGTCCACATAACACCAGAACCCCTTTCTTATTTAAGACGCAAATGTGTGGGAATATTTGAAGCACTGTTACTAAATCGTTCCTAAGGAATTGGGTGGTGTTTGCCCCTTTCCTGAGTCATCCCAGGCTCACCCGTGTGTTATTTGTGCCTGTTCCACTGCTCTCAGTACCGTAGTGCATAAAGCAGAGCTTTTTGACCTGTGAAAAAAAGAAAGCACCTGCCCCAGATCAGATCAGATCTAACTTGTTGCTGGCGGCTGGGGATCAGGGCAGTGGTCCTTCCACCTGAGTCCAGCTGTACTTGGAGACATCTTCTCCACCACAGTGCTTCATTTAGTGGAGCCCTTCTTCTGCCAACTAACAAACCAAAGCCCAAGCTCCACCACTACCTTTTTTCAACATTTTCTTCTACCTCCTAGGACCCATGAGTAGGTCTCAAATCACTTAAATTTCCCTCTGCCAGCCTTCCCCTTTTTGTTTTGTGTAGAGAATGGGTTCTCTCTAAAGCCAGTCAGGTCTCCAGCAACTAACCTGCTACTTGTTGTTTGAGACTGACATAGCTACACTCTTCAAACACATTTGTCTTTTTACGAGGGAAATGTGTTAGCAAGTCTCCACTGCTCACCTGCTCTTGCTATAGTTGAAGGGATTTCAGAGCGCACTCCAGACAGCTGCAGACTACAAAGCTCAAAACAAACTTACCCAGAAGTGCCCTCTGCCATCAAGTGACAGAAGCAGGGAATTCCCAAGGACATCTTCCTGTCCTTACTTCATGAAAGTAAAGGGGACATTCGGAGGACTTAAGTGATACTTTATATTAGCTCACCCGTTAACTCACATCTACTGAAGTGGGAAAGTTCTGTATTTATAGAAATTTTATTACTCCTTCAATGGGCTGGGGAAACTTAGAGAAGAAAGAAGAAAATGATGAAAGGATCTGGAAAGTAAGAGGGCTGCTTCTTTTGAATAGAGGGAGGAAACTAGAGCTGAACAAGGAAAGTATTGTTCTGAAGTAGTAGGTGAAGACCAGAGGTAACTTCAGAACAGACAGAGGCAAACGGAAAGTACTCCAGGCAGGCCAGCAATGGCAAAAAAATCAAAATCTTTTTACATTCATACAATAACAAGAAAAAAAAAAAACCTTTGTGCTATATCCTGTGCTCTCATGTCAATTGTTTCTTTTTACAAGGGTCTGGCTCAGCTTAGCAATGTCTGCCGAGTTTTGCAAAGTTCTTTGTACATCACCTTTTCTGGAGCTGGTGGTGGCTGAGCTGACACCAGCTCTCTGGCATGACAAAGCCATTGAAGTTAGTGAGAAAGAGAGTAAGTAGAGACCTCTTGTCCTAAAATCCAGAAATTTTTTTGTTCCTCTCTTTTTATTTCTTCACCTGCAATACACCCTGTGTACTGGTGGAGGAGGCAATCTGAAATCCCTTCTGTTCATGAATGAGGTCTACTCTTCATTCTTTCCTCTGCCTTCTGGGCGGACACACCCTGCTGATAGTATGTTTCTTGTTTGTTCCCTTGATTTCTGGACTAATGACCTCTTTTGAGCAGAAGCACTTGAGGCAGAAACCAGGAAAATTTGTACAGGTTTAAGGACAAGAAGATGATACTGCTGTTGCAAGTTGCCCTTATTTAACAAGAAGAGAAAATATAGCCTTAGCGGATGACTGGAGTCAGTGACACAGATTACAGTAAAACAATTTACAGGGCATGTCGCCTGCTGAAGGCTTACAGCAGAAGTGGTAGGCTCTGATGATTCATCTTCTGGCTCTGGTCATATAGATTAGCATATCCCCCTTAATCTGCAAATTCAAGCAATGCTTCCTCAAGCCATGAATGCTCAAACAGGTCTGCTAGGAGGTCCAGCCTGGTCCAGAGGATCTGCCACCAGCTGTCATTTTGCTCGTGATTCAACTGTGTGACTGGGGACAAACCACATGTTTTGTCTCTCTCAAACTTACTTCTGTAACACAGGCAAATGCTAAAGGGTTTACAGTTTGATATCCTAGCCAATTTTTCCAGCACAAACTGCACCGTATTTCCCAGAAGAGAAAGCTAACCATGTGGGTGGGGATAAAACCAGAGAAAAGTTCTGGGGTCCCCTTACGTGGCAAGAAAGGGCTGGAAACATTTTGCGTTTTGCTTTGCTTTCTACCCATAGAATAGCTGTGTAAAATGAAGACACCTAAATTTAACTTTTCTCTAAAAGGAGGTTTGGTATTAGATCGACTTAACGGGAGCTGGGGTTGTCAGTCATCATGCAGCCATGTATCTCTGGTACATCTAAGATATCCATACCTCAGCTCACATTCTCCTCCTTTCTCTCATTTTCCAGTGAAACCTGTCAGTCTTTTTGCGTTGATGACAGTTCATGTTTCTCTCACTGATCTTCATTTAAGTGCCTCTTCTCTGCCTGAGGGCTGAGCATCCTGGCAGCTGGGAACTGTGGATACCACTGGTTGTGCAGATCCTCTCAGAAGCGTGCTGCGTATTACACAGACTAACAAATATACTTGCACACCAGAAACTGCAAATCCTAGTTACCTAGAGGCAAGTAACTGGGAGAAAATCAGGTTAATAGTCAGGAAAGAAGGATATTTCTTAAAAGAAAGGTGAGATAGTCACTACAATTTTTTATAATAGTTTCTGCCATCCCACAGAGCCTCCTTCAGCTCTTGGGACAGGCACACTGAAAGAAAGCATGCTGGGTCTTGTTAGTGATGCTGGCTTTGGGACAGCTGTGGTCTCAGCTTTTTAGTTTGTTTTGCTTCTAAAACTGGTAATGTTTTTCCCTTCTGAAAGGAAACAACACAATTACTGGGACAGAAAAAAAACCCACTTAATTCCATCTCGTCAGGAAGAACCAAGGAGTATTTCCAAACTCCTACCTGAGTGAAAAATGGGGCATCTGCCCTGTAAAAATCCAGTACTGGACTGCTTTATAAAAAGCCCTTAAGTGGGATGTTCTGGAAAAATTGAGACTGTTTCTGCCTATTTGTTTTCTGAGTCCTTGGTGTGCATTTCATCATATTCTCATTTTCCCTTCTCAATCCCCAAAGCTAACTTTTTACTCTTAGTAAAACTACACTTTTGCACCGAGGATAAATCATGCACTCGCTGCCAGAAGAACACAGGTGAGGCCATTCTTCTCCCCCTCCTTCAGCAGGCTCTGAGCCACTCAGCTGGAGTACCACTGGTCACTGTCGTACAGCACTGAGCCTGCACATCTCTCTCGACAATTTTCATGTCCTGGGGAAAAAGTTATCTTTGAAAAGCAGTAGTTAAACTCACTCACCTCTTCTTTTGTTGTTGTCTTTAGAGACACATATTGATAGCATCCAATCACAGCTACGATTGAAGACCACATACGTGTCCATGACTACCATACAGAAAAATACATTCAATCTCAGAACATTCTCATTCCCGGAATGCCAAGTTGAAGCCCTCCATTGTACCCTACATGCACGTGGCACAACAAACTTCAAGGGAAGCTGATCCAACACAACATCTTCAGAATGCAGGCAACAGTTGCCCTTTAAATACTGAGCAACTCTTGGTTAAATTATCACTCCAGGTTGATTTCTAAAGGTCCCTTGGCCAAGAAGCCCGAGATTGCTTTCTAAAGGTGCATTGACCAAGAAGCCCAGCTGTAGAAAATCCAGCTCTCTCAGGAGGCAACCCTTGAGGCTTGCAAACTTGTCAGAGGGATTTGGGCGACCTGCATGCCTTACCCAGTGCTACCAAATGCCTGCCATTCTCACTTCTCCTTGAGCACACCTTCCTTTATCCATCACAGACCAGCCTGGCAGCTTGCGGAAACAGAAATGTTTCCACATTTCCTTCCCCAGTCCTTTGCTAGAGCTTTTTCTCCAGGAGAGCAAGGCAGGACTGAAACCAAATGCCTGGTTCCTTCTGCCAGTCCCTTCAATACCTTCTTTTCCAGTGACCACAGTCAGTGTCCGCCGCAGCACAACACTCAAAGTCATTTTGTCATATTGTTCCTGAACACCTTTGGATACAGTGCTTGTAATCTTTTGATACCTGGGATAGGGTTGCTGGACACCAAAAGACTGTTTGAAAGTCCAAACAAGAAACCTGTGAGTCACTGTATTAATGGAAGACTCCCTGGAGGCGTTTTCCCTGTCTTTCATGATCTCTCCCACTAGAGGGTACTCTGTTATTATAAAAGAAAGTGCTCTGTGCTGAGGCTGCACAGTGACACAACCTGTTAGAAGAGCCCCTGCAAATACATTGGAGGGACATTTCTACCACACCTCGTGTAATGAATGATACAGAGAGCTGGAGGGGAAGCTTTCCATCTCGACCCCTTAAAAACATAACTTTTTTTCAAAATACGGATCTTGGTACAGTTCCACAGGTCTTGCTGCATCCGCAGCACAGGTCCTCCTGCTTCATTACTTGTAAAACGCCAAAGGGTGTCCTGGAACACGTCACCTACTCACCGGCTTGCCCAGCTCGATCCATGCTGACACTCGCTCCAGGTGCTGCACCAGAAACACACGGGCTCTGGTCCTGCTCCATGCTGCTGGCTGGCACGTGATTTCTCTCACTTGGGTCTCCTCGGTTGTGCCCACTGGCCCATGGTCCCAGCCCAGCTGCTAGCACCAAGCCCCCATATACCCATGCACACCAACTAGGGAGTCCCTCACCCAGGAAAAGAGATGGAAATGGAGTTTAAGGAGAAGACAGGATGGACCGAGGGGACCAGGTGCTGGGCATGCCCAGACAAGTCTGGTGATCAGCCATCTGTGTACATGTGACCAGACCCTTTTGTCCCTTTAGCTCTCCATTTCCCCAGACCTTTTCATCCCCACATCCTTTTAATTCCTCCCCTAAGCATCTCATAATAAGTCCTGTGCAATCCCAACATGCTCTTTCTCAGCATTCCATCATGTGTCCATACAACTTTAGGCAGTCACTTCCTCAGTTTGAAAGGTGCTCCACTGACAACTCACCTGAATGGGTTTCACCCCCAGACCCTGGGAATGAGCATCTCCTGGGATGGGCCTGGGCAAGGTGCCCCTTCCTACAAGTCCTTAAGTTTGCTCCCCAGCTGTCCTTGGGCCCCTGTGCTCCTCGGGGCTTCTGGAGGTTGGCCTTCAGTGGGCTGATGGCTCTCCTTCCTGTGCTGAGCTGTTGAGCAGGCAGGGTGGGGTGTTGCTTGGACTCCCCCACCTGCCATTGCCTCTCTGTCCTCCTTCATGCATGTACAGTTGAACTCCTTGATGCATAATTCAAAAGGTCCCCTCTCAAACACGCCATGGACATTGCTCTTCAAGTTCTCCTCTTCCTCTGAAAACGAGTGCCTGCAATTTTTTTTCTCTCTCAGTTTTCTCTTCAGACCAGGTAGACTGGTGGGAAGTGAGGAGCCTGGTGTCTGCAAGAGACCCAGGACAGTGGTCTGGTAACCATGACAAAGCTCTACATTATCAGGCACAGAGAAGTGATGGGAAGACAGCAGGGCTCCCCTTCCCAGCACAGGAATAGCAAGAGCTTGCAAGAAAAAGAGGGAACCTGCAGGAAGGTCGGAGGAAAGTGGCTGGTGGGGGTGACTCCCAGCTGTGGTCGCTTACTGGTTTTGTCTGTGGATGCCACCAGCCCTCCAGAGCACCTTCACGCTTGTGTGACCAGCAGGGTAGGGCAGACTTTTATGGGGAATCTTCTGTGTGAGGCTGCTGGTTACAGCACCTGAGTTCCACAAGTGCTTCTTCACCTTTGTCCAGAAGGGATATCTCATCTGCTCTCTTTGGCATTTCCAGTACCCCTTCCCTGCCTTTCCACATAACCATTGGCTAACTTTTCTCCTTCCCGTTCCAGGCCTTTCCCAGCATTGCTAGAGGTCAGATGGGGCATGTGTGGTGTCGTCTACCCAGTGTGACTGCCCCATGCAAGAAAGGCATGGCAGCAGGAGCGGACCCCACCTCTCAATAGAAGGGTTTTGTCACATTCCTGGTAAGTGTTGCCAAGGCTTTTGAAGGATGTGAATAATTACTGGAAGCCTTAGGCATTTGCATTACCTCGTTCTGACAAACAACGTTCTGGTGCTCCATCGTGTCCAGGCTCTCAGCTTCCTTGCTCAGGTCTTGGTGTAAGCCTTCTTCATCTGCAGGCATTCTGGCTGCACTACATCTCTTCAGTCTGAAAAAAACACATTAACTAGTCACATAAAGCTCAGAAACCTCCTGGCATTTAGAGTGAATCTTGATATTGAAAGATGCTGTTACCCCCTGGATAAGTTTCCAGGGCAACTATAAAAGAACCCCAGGAGGAAAGAGAAAGGCAAATTGCAAGGTGAACACAGGCAAGCCGTGTCATTTGCAAGGACATGAAAATTAGTCTTACTTTTCCCTTTTTCTGCTGATCAGTCTCATGATGCAATGTATTAGGACTGTTGAGAACACCACTGCTAGAACGACTGCCATGACGATTACACTTTTCTGAGTACCTACAAAAAGAAACCAATAAATTCATGCAGAACATGGAGGGATGCCAACATGTTTCTCGTGTCCTCTTCCAGAGGTTGGGGCTGAAGTGAAACATTCATCAGTTTGTGTTCCTTTGTTATTTGAAGAAGAGAAAGGAACAGCATAACAATGTAACACTGTGGTAGGTGAGAAATTACTTTATTTTTTAAATAAATACCGATTATGCCTCATATTTCCCTGGCATTGGGGGAACCAAACCCCAACCTTTCTTCTCCTGACCTATTGGTACTTCTCTTTCTGTATGAAGTTTTGTCATGAGGAAGGTCTCCCACCCTTCCCGAGACACACCCTCCTGCAAGATCTTCCCTGTGAAATGTTGCTTACCAGCATGCAACAGCCAGGGGCCTGCTCTGCTGGTACCCTCCAGCTGTGGATACTGCTGGAGGGTACCAGCAGAGGATACTGCTGGAGAGCTGACCTCGTCCACTCTAGATCACTGACTGTGTAGAAATACAATCGGAGACATATACATATGTACACATGAGTCTATGTATTTCTTAGATATACCTATACACCCAACAGACAGAAAGGTACCACAGGGAAGAATCATCTGGGTGGCTTCAAATCATGAAATGTGAACTCCCAGAAAAACATCTACTGAGACGTACGTAAGAACAAGCTGTGCTCCCATGTTTGGGCATCCTTTCCTAAGCGCTCCCCACTACATGCTGCACCTCTCCATACAAACACAGCCTACCTTCCCTTCCTTTTTCTGAGTAAACTGCCTTCATTTTCCTTCCCTGTGGGTGGTCAAGGAGGCAGGCCAAGGCACGGGGGTGGTCGGCAGAGAAAGTAAGTTTGTTTGCCACCGTTACTGTCCCATTTGCATTTTGGACGCGGTGTATTTCAGGGGATTCATCCAGTTCTCTGTCATTCAGCCAGGTGATTTTGGGGGCAGGCTTTCCTGTTGCTGAGCAGACTGCAGTGAGGAGACCCTCGGTGGGCAGGTGGGAATCATATTCCACTGTTAGCTCAGAAATTGCTGAGAGCAAAAAGAGAAAGTACTTTTTACACTTTATAATGAGTTAATGGTCACAGTTAGACAGGTCACTTCTCTGGATGGAGGTTCTTACCCAGAAGCATCTCCCGGCTTATTTACCTTCACCTCCTCTGAGGAAAGGTATGGCCATTCTGGAGACTATCCACCAAGGAGTTGCTGCTGCATGGAAAGGCTCCATGCAGTGGAGGGGATAATGCCTTACCACCTCTTGACTACATCAGACCTGTGCTGAGTGCCAGAAAGTGAGAAGGTGTTAGTGGAAAACTTACTTTGGATGTTGAGGCATATATCTTTGCTGAAAGAGCCGTGAGGGAACACGTTGAAAATGCATCTGTAATAGGACTCATCCTCAAATGTGAGGTTTTGGAGTGTGATAGCTGAGGCTTTCAGGGTTGCTCTAGTGAAACGCACCTTCTTCTGAAAGGACCCTATCAGCCTCAGCCCATGGTTTGGGCTGTAGGTGGCGATGTTCTGGAAGGAAGACCCATTTTTCTTCTGCCAGGTGATTTGCAAAACATCCATTGGAAGCGAAAAGTTGCAATAGAAATTGGCCTCTCCACCAAGGGCTGCTGCAATAACTCTATCAGATTTCACGGCTTCCTTCAAACCTAGGAACAAAGCAAACCCCAAAATCAGAGCGAGAGAAAAAGCAATTCACTTAAGGCAGGCTATAGTGCCTTGAAGCATCCAGTCATGGCGTTCCCGTCTTGCAGAGCACTGGAGCAAGGAACTGCACCACGAGGCTGTGTGGCACACTCAGAGACCTCAGACACCTTGGTCTCACAGGTGGCCCTCACATCACTAGCATACGCCGTACATTTCCTGTGGTGACAAGGAAGGCAGCAGGGAAACAGGGGGCAGGCAGGCTCCGTAGCAAGCATAGTGTCCTGGTTTGAGGTAAAACAGAACCAATTTTGTTCAGTAACTTTGCTTCTTAGCTGGGCCTCTCTAACTACTGAAATTAACAGCATATTGTGCAGACAATGTTCACTCTTTCAGAGTGATAAGACCAATGTTTATAGCTGATGCCCAGCCATGGTATGCAGAGACGCTCTTGCCTATACTTATTGCTATAACACCCAAGGCCAACCAACTTTGTTATTTGCCCCGTTGGAGGGTCAGAAGTGGAAAAGCATGGTGGGGTCCCACCTGCAGGGAGAAGCGGACAGGACAGGTGACCCAAAACTGACCAACGAGGGTATTCCATCCCATCTGCCTCATGCTCAGTATAAAAGCTGAGGGATCAAAGGGTCAGCCCTGCGATCCCGATCCTGAATGCAGATCCAGAATCCAGTTCCCATCCGTCACTGAGTCCAGCCTGGGACTGCCCCAGTGCCAGCCGGTGTCGTGATTGTCATCTCGGGAGCTTGATACAGTTTTGTATATATTTCATTATTTCTTTTTTTTTTATTTTATTATTAATATTTCATTAAAGTAGTTTAGTTCCTTCTAAACTCATAAGTCTCTTTTTCCTCCTCTGCCCCTCTCTTTGAAGAGGGGTAGAGAGGAGCATCTGTTGGTCCCATCTGGGGTCCCCCAGGTCCCCAGTAGCCTATTTGGCCTAAACCAACAACAAACTGACAACAAAGTCAATCCCCCAAACAAGCAAGCTTGTTTGCCTGCTTCTTCCCAGTGCCTTGCTCTTAGCTCACCTTTGTCCCCTGGAGCTCAGGGGTGGCCTGTACACATGGCCAACACATGGCAACCACCCTGCGCAAGGGGCTCTCACTCCTGAGAGCATCCCTGCTCCCCTCTCGCTGGCACCTGCAGGAGTGAGGGGGAGGCAGAGCAACCCCGGGCACCCTGCAGCTGGGAGGCAGTGCCAACGGCATCCCCCTGCCCCAGCCTCTCCCAACAGCAACCCGCACTGCCCAGACACCTGCACTGGAAATGCAAACCTCCTCCATCCCTTCTGCTGAGCACCATAGCGGCAAAGAAAGGGAATACACAGGTTCAATATATGGCTTGAGCTCAAAGACCAATCACCCTGTGCCCTCTCTGACCTGCATTTCTGATTTTGCTGCTGAGCAGCCCCCAGATTACAAGCTACTGTTCTAGTTACCAACTAATATTTTTCAGTCGGGATGGTGACTGGATCTCCCTGGTTGCCCGGAAAGGCTGGTGCTGCTCCAGAGTCAGCCTCATGCAGCGAAAGGGCGCTCCACTCACCCATCACCGGCTCCTCCAGCTGGCAGCCTCCGCAGATCAGCAGCAGGCAGATTTCAGCCCAGCAAAGCAGGGGGAAAAGCATCGTGGGACAGAGCAACTGCCCGGCAAAGCTCACCCCCTTTCCTCGCATCCCTCTGAGGGTGGCTGGCATGGCCGCGTGGTTCCTTGAAGACCTTCCGCCTGTTTTGAAAGGGCTTCTCAGAGGCCAATCAGCAGAGCTTTACGCAGCAGGTTTGGCGGGCAACACCGAGCCAGGTGGGAACTGTTCCCTTGTGTCTTCCCAGAAAGTCGGTTAATCATTAATCACAGCAAGAAGGCTGGGGGTTAACAACACAGTGTGGCTGTTGTGCGACTTTCCTCCCCACTCACTGCACTGGTTGCCAGAGCTGGAAATAAAGAGCACACCTTGGGTTTTCCCCAGCAGCAAAGCTTGGTATTCCCCCTTGTTAGCCCTGTGCTGCTGAGCTCTGCTACGAGAGCCCTCGTGAGGACTTGCACCTCACACGGTGCAAATGTGGGATCTCCCTGGGAAGCGCAAGTGGTGGCTGGCAGAGAGGGAAGAAATGAGGGGCCACAGGCCCCAGCAGCCCCCGCTCCCTTTTCCTTTGGCAGGGAAGGGAGGTGGGCACTGCTGGTGGATCACCGCCCCTGCAGCTTGCTGAGCGCCACACTGGGCACCGTTCCCAGGCTCCTCAGGGAGGTCACTTTCATCCCCTGGACCTGGCACTGGGGACCCACAAGCAGGAAGGGGAGATGCTTCTTCACCAAGAGGGTGGTGTGGAGACACCTGTAGATGCCACCGCTTCACCCCAGCCCACCAGCACACCAAAACCATGGGTTGGATTAAGAAAGGGGCCTCTACAGAAGGCAGGTTTGGCTAAAGTCCACTCTCCCTGAATACATTGGCATCTCACATAATTCCAGAAATGGAAAGCCAGGGATGAGACAGTGCTCCTGGGCTCAAGGGTGAGGTTGTGTGCTCACAGGTTTCGCTGTAAAACCGCACAGCACAGCTCCTGGCAAAATGGTAATCCAGTGGTAAGATTAAGAGCCATGTGAAGTTTCTAGTTGTACTTACAGAAGGATACCCACCATATACCCCATACAATTTGTCTGGGGTTCTCTGTAAGAAAAGGAGAAGGCTATTTTACAAGAAAATATGCGAAGCAATTATGATACACATTCTGTCTGTGTTTATCTCTGCTATTTATGAATTTCACTCCACCAGGAGGAGCAGCATAATGTTTTAGATTTCTTGCAGGTTTCCATGCATTTACATTCCACACGTCCCCCCAAACCTTGTAGATGAATTCATAAAAAGGCAAGACGGACTCCAGAACATCCCTCCTGGCACCTCCGTTAGGGGAAGGGGCTCTGTTCAGCCTCTCATTGGGCCCCACAGCAACAGCTTGCACATCAGGCCAAGATCAGGGAAGAGAAACCAGCACACACCACCACGTCAGAGCCTTTCCACAGCATCCCTCAGGGATTTTCAACTTCTCTCCCCCTCCCTCGCTCTATTGTCACTCTCCTCTGCTGCCAGCTCCCCTCTGTCTCCTGACTTCTGCTCCAGGCATAAAGGGCTGCCTTACCCCAGGGGAGCAGACAGGCAGGAGCATTTGGGACCCACCTTGCTGTAACTCGGAGTGAGCCCCCAGGGGCCTGCCAAGGGATGCTCCACAGCAAACCCTATGGCACATAGTGGAGAAAGCTGTGGCAACTCACATCTTCTTTTCCAGTCAGAATTGCCAACCAAATTCAGGTGTTTTATTGACAAACCAAACAAACCTCAACAAAAACAAGCATCACAGATTCTTGCAGAAGCAACTTGAGGAAAGAAAGGGAGGGTGAGGACAGAGAGGATGCAGCTAATGCTGTGGAGGTCACATGTGGGTTTTCCTGGGTTAGAAAGGCCCAAGAACACGTGGAGGTGAATCTGCCCAATGCATGAGGGCAGCAGCACAGGGAGGCAAGTTCACTGTCCCAAGCAAACACCCAGCCCTAGCTAATGCTAAGCAGCTAACACAAATATTGCTGCAACGTGGATCTTGGACTCAAGATGCAATAGACAGAGCAGACCAGATCTGCTTCTCCCTCATTGTTCCCCAGAGCCTGGTTGGAGATGGGAAAGCAGACCCCGTTGCAGGCACCAGTGAGGGTCACATGCGTAGTTTTGTGGAGCTATATCTTCGGTTTCTTTCCTACGTGAGAGGGATGGCTGGTGCAATCTTAAAACTGTGCCCACTTCTTCCCTTCTAGAAACACTTAACAATGCAGGCAGCAAAATGGGCTCCGGTAGTTTTTATTACAGCAGCAACCTTTACCCTCTGAATCTCACTGCTTTTTTACCCAAGCAAGGGTCCTACCAGCCAACTGCACACTATGCATCAAAACTTTTCACCACCTTCTCACATACGAAACAAAAACATACAAAAATGGCATGCGCAGCTCTACAAGGTCCGGGTAACAGGTCAGATTACTGGAACAGAATCTGTTCAGCTTCTTACATTGTTTCCCACATCTTTCCTCCCTGACTTTTCCTTTTTTTTTTGTAGTTCTTGAACTTCGCACAGGAAAAAAAAAAAACTGGCTGGTTTTCTCTTTTCAGGAATTTATCAAAGGCCCTGGAAGATGCAGTTGTTTGTTTAAAAAGAACTATCCCATAGGACTGCTTGTCCAAGCCAGACCTCAATGCTTTCAACATTTCAGATAAAGAAGCACGTTTGGACTGTAAGTACTGGAGTCTGACCTTAATTATTAATTAATTAATTCTCATTTACTGGGAAAAAAGTAATAAAAGTCTGTAGAACCGCCTTAGGATTAAATCAAAAAGACCACTTTCTAGGGACTACTCTCTTTTTCAAGCTTTAGTTTTGCTATTTTTGCTAGTGCCAAAGAGGACAATTACTAGTGAGGAGAAAGGCTGTTCATCGGCAGTTTTATAGCACTGTATTTTCTCCCCCTGTCTGTTGGTTCATGTTTCTTGTTCTCAGTTCTGCCGGAGACTAAAGGGCTCTCTTCTCCTGGTCATAGCCTGTAGACAAAAGGGTGAGGAGGAAAAGAAACGTTGGCTCACTCCTGGCTGCAAGCCCAGAAGCACCGGCTGCTGAGCTGAGAGGGGCAGACATCAGCCTGGCAAATGCTGTGGAAACACTCTGAGCAGGCTATCATCGAAAGGTCTCACCCTCCTCATTTTCTGCTGGTAGCATGTTTACTTCAGTTAGGAAGTTATGGGGATTTTAGACTTTTGATCAGAAACTGACTGGGGAACGTGGAGTGTGATACCCAGCGCCACCTCTCTCCTGCAGTATCAGCTCCCAGCTGTGCCCAGCCCTCTCCTTCCCTGGCTGCGTTACCCATAGCCAGTCTCATGTCATGCACCAGCTGGCACCAACTAAGGGGCAAAAAGATACCTTCCATCACTAATTAATTCCACAGACTTCACAAAACAAGACACTTGCTCCTGAACTGAAGTGGTACATTTTCCAAGCACTCCTTAAATTCCTTTTCCCAAGCTCTTGACACATCTTCTCTGTGGCTTGGTTGTTGAACTGGCCAAACTTCTCAAGCCAGTTAGTCCACTAACGCCCTGCAGAAGCGAGAGGCTGCAGAGCGGTATACATCCCAGATGACCCTCTCATTGCAAAGCTAATCTTAGGAGAAGTGTTTCTCCTGGAAGCAGCCAAGTCCTAAGGACTTGTTTTGTAACAAATTGCCCATGTGAAAGATATCCTGGGGAAATCATTCCCCCATTTGGCTCCACTTAGAGCCCTTTCCCCTGCCCTCGGGCTCTGTGTGTGCCCTTTTGCTCTGGTCCCCTCTCCTTCCCTTCCTCCTTAAGTCCCGCTTCCCAGCTCAGATCTATGACAACCCTGGGATGGAGAAGGGCAAGGCATGCTCCGCAAGGGAGGGGTGATTCAGGCAAGAGGACAGCATCTTCAGAGATGTAATGAGATAGAATAACATCAGGGAGAAGGAACAACCTCAAACAGACTAGGAGAGTCAAACTGTGTGGCTGGGTCAAGTAACAGCAAAACAAAGGACAAACTTTCTTTTGTTTGCAGCAGAGGTATTGCACTGGTTGATAGTACAACATCAGGTCTGGATCCCATGGACCAGAATAAGAGCAAAGGAAGAAGAAACATGCTAAGGGAATGAAGGAAGCTGTAGAGAATCAGGTAGAGGTTCCCCAGACCTACTCACTCACCTTTCAGGAGAAACATCTGTCCCACTAGCAATGACTGATGCTGTTTCATGGTGGCTTCTGGCTTCATTTTTTCCAAGTTGGCCTCCAAATCCATGTCTGCCAGTTCCACAGCTGAACGATACAAAGTCACAAACCTGAGACTAGAGTAGTTAAAATTTCATGATGACCACAACTTCCTTCTGCAGGGCCAGAGCCCGCCGGAGAGCCTGGTTCATCACCCCTTTGGGTTGGGACGTTATTATGTGTGACCCAGGAATCGCCCTCCCTCCTTTTGCATCCTAATCTGAAGGTTTCCACCCCAGAGGAGCCTGCAGGAAGTTCAGCACTTTCTGTTGGTGATGCAACAAGGGCTTGGTTTCCCTATGCATGCCTGAGCTAGACTTGGAGGAATGCTTTCTGATTGTCTTGATGCGGTTAGAAATTAGAAAAACACCTGTTCCAGTGTCTCACCACCCTCAGAGTAAAGAATTTCTTTCTCAAATATGATCTAAATTTACCCTCTTTCAGTTTAAAACTGTTACCCCCCCATCCAATCACTACACTCCCCAATAAAGAGTCCCTCCCCATCTTTCCTGTAGGCCCCCTTTAAGTACTGGAAGCCCACTATAAGGTCTCTGCAGAGCCTTCTCTTTGCCAGGCTGAACCACCCTAACTCTCAACCTGTCTGAAAAGGAGAGGTGCTCCACCCCTCTGATCATCTTCGTAGGCCTCCTCTGGACTCACTCCAGCAGGTCCACATCCTTCTTATGTTGAGGGCTCTAGAGCTGGATGCAGTATTCCAGGTGGGGTCTCACCAGAATGGAGTAGAGGGGGAGAATCACCTCCCTCGACCTACTGGCCATGCTTCTTTTGATGCAGCCCAGGGTGCAGTTAGCTTTCTGGGCTGCAAGTGCACATTGACAGCTCACATTGAGCTTCTCATCCACCAACCCTTCCCCTGTCCTCAGGGCTGCTCTCGATCCATTCTCTGCCAAGCTTGTGTTTGTGCTTGGGATTGTCCTGACCCACGTACAGGACCTTGCACTTGGCCTTGTTGAACTTCGTAAGGTTCTCATGGGCCCAGCTCTCCAGCCTGTCCATTGGCATGGCATATCAACCGCTCCACACAGCTCGGTGTTGTCAGCAAACTTGCTGAGGGTGCACTCAATCCCACTGTCCATGTTGCCAACAAAGATGTTAAACAGCAGCAGTCCTAGTACCTACCCTGGAGGAACGCCACTGGTCACCACTTGGACATTGAGGTGTTGACCACCATTCTCTGAGCACCGCCATGCAGCCAATTCCTTATCCATCAAGTGGTCCATCTGTCAAATCAATGTCTTTACAATTTAGAGAAAAGGATGTCATGTGGGACAGTGTCAAATGCTTTGCACAAGTCCAGGTAGATGATGTCAGTTTTTCTTCCAATATCTTTACAATAAAGATTTTCAGAAAGAAATGTTGAAGTTATATACATAAACACTGAAGCATTGAGAAGAGAACTGACACCTTGCTTCTATTAATAAATCATTTCTAGAAAGGAGACGGCCTATATTTAATACCCTTAAAATTAAACTGTTCTGAAGGAAATATGCAAAGATCTACAGAAAACTATACTAGGACATTCCCCCTTTTCTCCTCTTTGCATATAGCTTCTGGTATTTAGAGAAAAACCTGTAACAAAGAAAGATATTTCTTTTTACTCACCTGATGGGCTGTTAAAAAAATACCACAATCTCACTTACAAAAATAGATACAGTCCCATAGAGAAGGAGGGCTCAAGGCCTCCGAGGCAAATTGGTTTCTTTAGGCCTAAAATGTAACCCTTGGTGTTTATGATGAGATGCTGGACATTCTGCTTGAAGGGTAAAATAAAATATTCTGATTGAAAAAAATATCTCTAATCTTTCATCTAAAATTGTAGAGTTTTTTTCTGCAAGCTTTTCAATGCATCTTGGTCTTTCATGTACAATTTCAAGAGCTCTTTTACTAGACAAGCTACCTTTTCTTCCCTTTTCCTTAGAGTGGTTAAGGACTGCAGCTTCTGACAATTCAGGGAAATCAAAACTCTGTTTGTATTGCATATGTATAATCCTCTTAGACTGAGGATTCCCTCAAGCTTGCCAGAAATTTCAGGTGGCTTTTTTCAAAGCTGAGCAGACGGCCTCCGAGGCAAATTGGTTTCTTTAGAAACAGATTACAACAGATTTACAACAGATTCCATCTGCAAAGAGCTTGGACAAGAGTTCAATGCTCCTTTCACACACAGCTTTATATGAGCAAAGATGAAAGCAGTGGAGATATGAGAAGGCCCTTTGTATAGCTTCAAAATATGAGTAATTTCTTGTATACTAAGAGTGAAACCAAAAATATGCTTGATTTTAATCTGCCTGGTTTGATAGTCTCATTTATGAAAGAGAAAAACACATTCACTTAGTGCAATTCTTCTATTTCAGCTGATTTGCAGGGGCTTAGTGCTGAAAACTGAATGAAAAACAATAGGTTATAGTTTCTTCCATGTCTGAGTGCATAAGAAAATTTACTTGTGTGGTATTTAGTAGATGAATCATTCCCCCAGGGTCACACAACAGAGAAATGATGAATGATGCTTTCAATCTTCTATCACCAAAACAAAGTTCCTTTTCACTGTGTGGATTTAGTCCTATGCCTCTGCTAGCAGTGGTTGCAGACAAAGAATATTCTACCTATTTCAGCCGGTGACTTGTAAAATGTCTAAGGGCAGCATTTCAGCTACATTTCAAAGTCACATCTTCAGCCAGAGCTGCTGGGGCAGCTTTACACCTCATTGCTCTCTTAGAGCTGGAAACCCAGTACTCAGCTAGAAGAAAATACCAACACGGTACATCTCTGAAACAGCCTGGCATGCCAAAACAGGAACGTGGACATTTTAGAGAGCCTGAGGACCCTTTATTAGATACCAATGTGTATAAATATAAAATACAGTTTAAAAGGACACTGTCTTAAGTTCCCACGAGTTAAAACCTTAACACAAGCTGGCTAATGTCAAGATCAAAGGATCCCAGAGCCGAGACATCCTGGCTAAATAATCTCGTTTGCTTTGCAGAGAGACACCAGTTACCCACAGCCAGTTTTACCCAAGTAAGAGGCAAGCAGAAGGGTGGCATTCCCACTTGCCCTCTTTCCATCTGTTTGGAAAAATGATGCTCTGCATCAACACCGCTGCTGCCCTGGGCTGGACAAGTTGCAGTGACAGAAGGTGGCCAAAGGCAGGGTTGGGTCAGACCAACAACTGGCCAGCCATGAGGCAAGTAAAAAACTAGGCTTTTTGCATGTTGTTTTGTGTTTTGCTTTTTGGGGTTTGGAGATTTTTATTTTTATTTTTTGTGATGGCAATAGTAACTCAGAAAATTCCTGTAAACTTTGAAAATATACTCTGCTTTCATTTACTTACAAAGTTAATCTGCTTTATATCACTCACATTTGAGCAGCAAAATAGAGCAGTCTGTTCCACTTTACTTTTTTACCAGTTTTATTTTTACTTCAAGACCTAAGCAAAATTTGCAACATTTCATAGACTAGATAAAATTTATTAATATAAATACTGAGTATCTGCGTAAACCCATTTGAAATATAACCTCCAAAGAATTACTACCAAATTGTTAACAGAGAGAACTGGACAGACAAGCACAAGATAATCACAAAGAAACCTCAGTACAGCAGTTCGGATGTTATCCACCCACAGTAAAAACTACTTATCCCCCCAGTCACATGCTCATTTGTTTCCTGAAAGGTGATTTGTATCTATTTTGTACTTTTTTTTTTCCATCCAACAGCCACTTAATTGTGCGTAGTCTGTATGCTTACATTCATTCTATTGCTACATGAAGCCAAAGTCCCCAGCACTAGCGTACGTTTTGTGGCACTGCATTTTAGTAGCTGGCTTTGTACAGCATGAAGGCAAATACATGTATTGGTTTTAAGTGTTCTGCCTTTGGATGTCATTTGCTCTTCTCATTCTAATACTGTGAAAGACAGATAGATTGATAATGTTTTCCTTTCTGGTACAACATCCTTCTCTTTCACTCAGTCTCCAGTCCTATCGTGCTCGCAAGCAGAAACCTACAAAAGCTTTTCACAATTCAACTTTCAGCTAAATAGTAAAAGAAATTACAATCCAGCAGGTAAACAGATCCTTTCACTACTCCAGACCCTGCTTTCCCCCAGTCCAGGTGATCAGCTTGTAGAAAATAATAATAGGTAATCTTTCCGATCTCCCTGGGCTTGTAAAGGTTTCTTGCCAGCTTTGTGCCTTTCTCTCTTCCCTCTGAAAACCCTTTTTCATTACCCACGTCCAGACTCCCTGTTTCTGTAGAAGGCTCATTTCTCTTTTTTTAAAAAGAAGACCCAGTAGTTTAAACAATAGTGGAAACTTTCTTTTAAAACTCAAAAAAAGGTCTCCAAAATCCCCCTGAAGTGCGAGTGCAGACCCTGCTGAGTGGTGGGGGCTGAGCTCTGCCCGCCTGCCCCACCAACCACCCACCCAGGGGAAAACCTGCTTCCCCCACAGCCCCTTCACTCACAGAGGAGGAAGGCTGCAATTAACAAGAAAGCTTGGACAAAATGCAGCTTCCTCCTTTAACAGTTGTGGGGCTCAGGAGACAAATTCCCAATTGTGACAGTTGCAGCCAGTTCCTCTTTCCCCACACTCGCCAGCTGCGCTATTACTAAGCGGACAGGAGCCTAAAAAAGGCCTTTTATCACAAGAACTGGGTTTATTCATTCTCCACTCACCCACTCGCTTTCATTTTAGGTTACTTGGCTTTTTGACTACAACTCAGCCTGGCTCATCTGGCATGCGCAGTCAAAAGAGGCAAGGAAAAACCAGATGACATGCTCTTGCTCCAAGAAGCTGGGAGGAGAGGAGGCAGCCTGCACCAGCCGTCTTCATGCTGCCCACAAGACCGCACTGACTGTGGGGGCAGCTCATTTCTGCTTCCCTGGCTCTGCAGGGAAAGATTTCACGAGCATAGGGTGGGATTCAGGGACTTACAGAAGAACTGCCCTGCAGGTTAGATGCAATGAATTTTAAGCAGTAAGTAACACACATTACCATATGTTGGTGGATATCTGCCCACATCCAGCATCCACCTCCTTGCTCCTGCCAGCATCCTGCTTCCCACCACACTCACCTGCTACTACCCTGTGTCAAACACACCCCAAATCCAGCAAGCAGCCTCCTGCCCCTCCAACCACCCTTTTATTTCCCTGCTTCCTCCTACAGGCAGGTGGGATGTCTGGAAACACAAGGCAGCTGTGATAGATTAGGGAAATTAAGAAGGGGGCTGTGGAAACCACAGAAGAAGAGGAAACATCTCTGTTCTCCTTTGCTTTTGCATTACTTTCTAGCAAAGGCTGGTGGAAGTTGGAGTTGGCAACTTCCTCATGCCTGATGACTCCTGGCTTGAAGCCCGCTGCTCCTGGTGCCTGGGTTACAAGTTCAGGCTGGCTGCAGTCTTGGCCCAGTCTCTCATGCCCTTTGGGGAATGGGTTCAAACCCTTGAAGCTCACAGAAGTGCACTAGACTGCTCCATGGGTCTTCTGCACCCCGGTTCCTGGTGAAGGTCTCCTTCGGCCCATCAGCAACACCTCCCAGGCCAGCACCCCTCCGAAATGCTGCCCGGTTTCAGACAGTACCCCGCCCAGTTTTAAGCTTGCAATGTTAAAATATCAGAAAGAAATAAACATAACTTCCAAAACCCCAGAAAATTGAAAACATAAGTTTCATTATGCAGATCCCCACAGAGAGCCTGAGTAGCAAATAAATACTTTACATTTTTTTTCTACAAAATGGAATATTATAGTGTAACAAAACAAATAAATAACTATTTTAAAATTGTCCCTTTTTGTATTTCCCTTGGAGTGAAGTCACAGCAGGTTTGCTTGGAAGCCCGAGGTGCCATTGTAAGAAGTTTCTGTCTCGCACACGTAGGGCAGGCAGCTGCTCAGGTGTTCAGCGGCGCACCGGCGCTGGGAGGCACCGTGGGAACCCACCTTCCTGCAGCTCCATACTGTCCGCACTTCTTGGCCTTGGTACAGGCAGGAAGGACCTAACAGAAGAGAGATTGTTGGGGTTTTCTCCTTCTTCAAAATATATGGATATTTTAAGTGCGGTTGTAGAGATCTGGGCTGGGTGCATTACCAAATGGTTCCTTGCATCTCTCTGTGTGAGGGGAGTTTTCCCCTCACAACCACCCCAGCAGGCTCCAGCTTGGACCTAGACGCATGGCACCCATAGAAAAAGACATGTATGGCATTTTCTGCTGCTGCTTTTTGTCTCTGAAACACCCATGAAAAGTGTGCACACTCTGGGCGTATCTCATGAGGAGGCTGAGGTGCCTTCAGCACAAAATTGAGTTGCGATGTTCTGATACGGTGCCACCTGACTCAGTTTACCCCTATCTCGAGCTTGCCTCCTTCACCCCCTGTGCCAGGACGGACTCGGTGGGCACCAGCAGTGCCTCGGCCCCTGCTGCAGTGCAGCACTCTGGGCTGTCCGCACAGAGGCACGCTCTT